ATTATCCCAGATAATACATCAAATAAACCAACCCCCATATTGACAGTGATGCGTTGCACTTCAAAAGCTCACAGAATAAACAAGATGAAGGGGGGAAATACACGTTTTCTATTGATTATGAAATATGACTTCAACACATGCCAATGATACACGAAAAAGTGCGGCGGGGTGAAGACAAAGAGTAGAAATCCACAAATACCTGATAAGCTATGAGCCTCCCCCTTCTGACAGCAGTATCCTGTGTTAAATCAGGACCCCACTTTGTATTTCTTTGGGTCTGTTTCACATTTTCTCCATTAGCGGATTCATTCCCTCCCAACTTTTTGTTCACTCGGAAGATGGGAACCAAAGACCCTGAAAGTTTGTTTTTTGGTATAACAAACCCAGTCTTTGCTGCAAACATGGAAACCTTTTGGCTTCCCATAGGTGCAGCAGAAGTAACAGTTGCTCCAGACATCTTTGCACTACTAGACTCGATACAAGATGCCTTTTCAACCTCTGCACTCATATTCTTCTCCAATCACCTTAAGAACATATGATATAAAACATATATGAGAAATCAACTGGTAAATATAACCTTGAAATTTTCATTTACACTCTTTTGTGTAAAGAATTCCCGAACAACATAGATCAAATGAACAAGAAATTTGTATGACCCTGTGTATAATAATATTTTATAACAGTTCATAGAATGACATGTGGTAAATAGCAAGGGGATATCAGTTCATGGAAAGATCAGACATGGCGAAAATGTGAAACAGACCCAAAGAAAACATTTCTTCTGCAAGGGGATATCAGTTCATGGGTAAGTTTTTAATTAACTGAGGTAACTTAACCACAATTCTTTACAGAAGAAATGTTCTATTCATTTGACAATCGGTCAGTAAAAGGGACCTCTTGGAACCAAATTCTATATAGCAATATCCAACATTCACGGATATTAAAAAGACAATGACTTGGCTATTACATGAAACATGATCTCAAACTCTTTTGTCTAACTAGAACACGTTAACAAGACTGGAACAACACTCAACTGTGCTTTGATTAACAGCAAAAGACTGTTCTTGTACACATAGCACAAATAAAATTATAATCACATTTGAGACATTTCTCTAGAACGCCATAATCTTTCTGATCGTGATTCATGAAGTTAGCAAATGTTATATTTACAAGAAAACACCTCCACCTCTCAGATTGCAAATCTTAGCTGCTGGTCTCAAAGACAACGAAATTAGAAATTAGAAATTGCTTCAAATTTTCTTGCTCCCAATGGAATTACATAGCTTAACAAGAAATGCTGGTGCAAAATACAACTTTGTTGCTTATTTTGGAGTTGCACTGTGTAGAATGGAGTTAACAGTAAACTCCATTTTGCTTTGCATACCCAAAATCATCTCAACAACGAAACGAAAGCCATGCGAAAGAGATGAAATTACCTGAACCACTATCTTCTTCAGAACTGAACGCACGCTGGAGAATTGCCGCACATAACCAAGTTCTCTGGGAATGGCTTCAGACGGAACACGGTGTCTCCCGTCCGGCGTCCGGTATGCGGTTCCTTTGTTTTCAGCTCATTGGGCCGACCCGGTTAAGTTCCAACGCCATTGGGCCTTATCGCAGAGAATTCTTGGCCCAATAAAATTCGGACCGAAGTTCATTTAATTTCATCCTATATTTTCTTAAGAACCTTTAATATTATAACACATACATTAATAAACCAAAACTTTATAATTTTTTACTTAAAAAATTATTGAATTATTGAGATTAAATTTTAAAAAATGGCACCAATAGAATAAATACGAAGATGCGAATATTATAAAATAATGGGAAACAATGTAAGAGATGTTAACAAAATTTTGCAACTTCTCTTTTGGCATACACCATTAATGTTCTGAACTATTCCTATAAATAATTAATGAAATCGTGACAAATAATAGAAATACTACTACCATAAATAATTTTACCTTACATCATGAATGCTCGTACATTATTAATAATGATATGTCGCTTTCTTTCCTTCAAATTTCAAACGCTCCATTTTCGAAATAAAAAATGGTAGAAAATAACAAGATTTTGTATATTTATATTTGTTCTCAGAAACATAAATATGTTTTAGTATTTCCCAAAAAAAAAAAAAAAAAAAAAATTGTAGCGGGACCCACTTCGATAAAAAAAAAAGAGAATAAATGTAATTTATTTTTTGCATAATTTTGTTGAGTATTTTAAAAACATAATTTTAAATATAAAAGGAAATATGTAATCACTTTAAAAGTATATTTAAATGCATACGATAAGTATAATTTAGAAGTTTGATTACCTAAATTAAATATACTCATAAAAAAGTCTTAAGAAATTAATTTATTGAGAAGGGATAAAAATGTAATTTTAAACTCCAGATCTCATTTTATTTTCACTAAAATGTAATATACCATTTCTCGATGGTCCTTTCTTGTTTGCATACTTTGAGGATTAGGCTTCCAATTATGGAACCCAAACATTGTAGTAAAAAATAATAAATACTTTGTTTTTTAAATTTTGTTTATTTTAATTTTCTTAATATTTAATTCTTAACCAAATTCTAAAAGGTAGAACAAAAAAAATTTAAAAGAATGAATTTTGAGCCTATCTTCCGTTAAACGTAAAGAAATTTATAAATAGAAGTAATGTTTATAATATGAAAATTTAAAATTGTTATTAATTACAATACCACCTTTTTTGGTTGTTGTAAGTTGGAAAGTTAAGTTGCAGCTTACAATATTATGATATTGATAACTCAGATTATTAATTAACTCAACTTTACATCGCCTTACCTATCTCTATGCGTCTATACATACATTTTGCTTCATTTCGGCTATATAGTACCACCTCCATGTGCCTTTCAAACCTAACAATCACATAAATTAAAAGAAAAAAAAAAATCATTAATGATGCCAACGGTTGTCGGCATCAAAATCTTAATACACTACTTTTAAGTTGTAGCTTTGGTCCGAAGACCTGCCTTGGCCAACAGCTGAAGGGCCAAAATAGACCGATGCCCCCACACCCCTTGGCACCCCATACAAACCCGGACGCCCTAAATGTCTTCAAGAACTCAGCGGAATAACCAACCCGCATCACTCGATAATGTCATAGAACAGAACCCACAGGTAGAGGGCATCACAATATGACACTCTTTTTCATAATTGTGAGATCCCATATCACTATATGCAAATAGTATCATAGTTGGACTCCACGCGATGGGCCAGCGAAGAGACTAAACCCCGAAGGGAGGTAGATTGTGAGATCACACGTCCGTTAAGGGTTATATATAATCGGATTAAGTATAATGGGGTTGGCATCCCCATGGTGTTTAATAGGAACCTCTTCCGGAAGGAATTGATTATGAAAGTGAGGGAGGCTTAAGAATATGGCCAAAAATATGGAGGTAGGGTGGGCAGTCCAATAATATAATTACAATGCAATATATTATGAGTGGGTGTAATAACTGCTAAACCAACCACCCACTTCCTTTATTTCCCATCCGCCATATCACACACCATAAAGCCCCCACTCCCCTTCCTCCCCATCCATTCTGCCGCGCATTGCCATCCCTCCCAACCAAAATCATGGCCTCCAAATCCTCTTCAACTAATTATACGGCTCTCATCTCATGCGCCATCGCGCTCCTTTTTGTGGGGTTTGTGAGCTCCAACGTAGACCAGGACAGGGCAGAGTGCGCGGACCAGGTGGTTGGGCTGGCCACTTGCTTGCCGTACGTGGGCGGGGAGGCGAGAGCACCGACGCCGGACTGTTGCAGTGGGCTCAAGGTTGTGCTTGAGAAGAGTAAGAAATGTCTTTGTGTGTTGATAAAGGACCGTAATGATCCAAGCCTGGGACTTAAAGTTAATCTTACGCTTGCTCTTGGACTGCCAAATGCATGCCATGCCCCTGCCAACATCCAAGACTGCATCGGTATATTTCATCGTTATTATTCCTGTGGCTTTAGTTTGAATTTTGATGCACAATTAATCCGAAAATTAAACATAATATACAAGTTTATGTATTCTTGTTTTTGGTAATTGAGTATGTGGGTTATAGGGCTTCTCCATCTGTCGCCCAACTCCCAAGATGCTAAGGATTTTATGGGCTCCAAGGGAGCTAACACTACAGCCGCACCTGCTACTGCTGGTAATCCATATTTGTGTTTATCTCTTAATTATTTATTAAAGCGTATTTCTAAATGTTTATTAAAATAATGGTTTGCAGCGCCTGGGAATTCCACCCAAACTCCCATGGAGAAAGGTAGCGGAATGAGGAATCAATGGTTGGGTGCGGAGATGTTCATTGCGTTTCTCACTTCATCGCTTCTATTCACTTGTGTTTGGTAGTTCTATTTTAACCTTTTGTTCTTCCCTAATGTCCCAAAAATGTGAACCATCATATATGTGCTAAACTAATTGAAGTATGATTAAATGGTTAAAAGTTTTATTCTCATGGAGTTACAAATGTATATTTATATAAGGAACTGGCCTAGGATTTATCATCTCTCCTTCATAAATTAAGTTGAAAAACAACTAAATCGGACTCACTAAGGGTCTCCTAGGTTGTAGGCGTGCATAACGCACAACCCATTTGACAAACAGCCGTAATTCCTTTCTTCTCACAACCGACTATCTACTGTCTCGTCTCAAAGTTCGAGTGTTTTGCCTTCATCTTCATCTTATTTTACCCCCCTCCTTCTAAACATCTAAAATTACTCTTTAACAACTTTCATTTTAAAAAAAAAAAAAATCCTACCCATTCTCCAGTTTATTACTAAAAGTAAATAAATTATAATTTTATTATTACTTCCTACCATAAAAAAATGAAATTGGAAAGAAGCGGACATAAATGAAAAAATAGGGTTTCAAATTTATAATTAGTATTTAACAATTTAGTCCTGACGGGAAACACGACCAAGGAATGAGCTAAAGCGGAAGATAGGAGTGATTAGGCGGTGAATAAAGACCAGATCTTTGGGTAAGCATTTGTCAATCTGGATCAATGAGAATCAAGCAAACGAGTTTATCCTATTCTCGTCTCCCCAAATCTCTGTCACCCCGCACCGCCATTGCTGTAGCCCCATACAAATCCCTACACCATTCACCACCTCAAATCCCCTCTTCAAACAACTGAAGAAGAAGACCCATGGCGGCTCCCACCACAAATTCTCATCTGGGTGTAATATTTTTCACCTCCTTCGTCTTCTTGGCCGCACTTCCTTCGGTCCCTGTAGCAGCACCCGATGCTCCCACTGTCTATGATATCCTCCCCCAATATGGGCTTCCCAGTGGCCTTTTACCTGACTCCGTCATCGATTACACCCTCTCATCCGATGGTCAATTTGTCGTTCACTTGGCCAAACCCTGCTACGTTGAGTTCGATTACTTGGTTTATTACCACAACACCATCACGGGGAAGCTTCAATACGGCTCCATCACTCATCTGGACGGTATCGAGGTTCAGAAATTGTTCCTGTGGTTCGACGTGAAGGAAATCAGAGTCGATTTGCCGCCTTCTCATAACATCTACTTCCAGGTTGGGTTTATCAACAAGAAACTCGACGCAGACCAGTTCAAGACCGTCCACTCGTGCCAGGACAATGGTTTGGGCTCTTGCCTTGCCTCCTGGAAACGGATTCTTGAGGTATATTCGATTATAATTTGCATTTTCCCCCTTTATCTCTATACTTTAGAATCTAATTTGGGGCTATTATCTTTCCTGATTATCATAAACTTATGGGTGTCCGTTAGTAATCGCTCCGCTCTGTTCATGCTTTCAACTCTATAATTGCGGTACTTTTACCGTTGTTCTATTCCGTAGAGAAAAATCTGTTGGACAGTACTTTGTTAAAAAGTGTGATAGATTCTGTGAAGTTTGAAGAAATCTTGCTTTTAAAGCATGATGCCATGTACGAACTCGACTGCTAGAAGGACAAGCTCAAGGGAACATGGTCATCACTGGGCTTTCCCTTCCAAGTTCCCCTCTAGATTTTAAAACTCTCTCTCCCACTATTAGGAAAAGTTTCCACACTCTCTTATAAGGAATGGTTTGTTCTCCTTTCCAACCGTGGGATCTCACAATTCACCGCCCTCTCTGACACATTGCCTAGTGTCGATACCATTTGTAACGCTCCAAGCCCACTGCTAATAGATATTGTCTGGTTTGACTTGTTACGCTGTCAACCTCACGGTTTTAAAACGCGTCTATTTGGGAGAGATTTTCAACACCTATCTAAGGAATGTTTCGTTCCCCTCTCCAACCGATATGGATAGCTAGCAGTGGGTTTGGGCTGTTACAGATGGTATCAGAGCCAAATACCAGGCAGTGTGCTAGCGAGGACGTTGGGCCTCCAAGGGGTGGATTGTGAGATCCCACATCGGTTGGAGAGAGGAACGAAACATTCCTTGTATGGGTGTGAAAAACCTCTCTTTAGTAGACGCGTTTTAAAATCGTGAGGCTGACGGCGGTACGTGATAGCCAAAACAGACAATATTTGTTAGTAGTGGTCGTTGTATCTAGAAGAGAAAGGATATGCAAAAAGGAGAGTGGAATGTACACAAATGACCAAAAGAATCAAACCATTTGAATTCGTGTGCTATAAGAAAGTTTATGATCATTAGCTTTACCATCATTAGCTCCTATGTTTCTGTTTCAAATTCTGCCTGGGTAACTTTTTCCAGTGAACATAGTTATTTTGGCCGCCTGATATTCCAATATGCTAGTCTCAGTGCTCTCTCTGTTTCTATGACTTATTGCAAGTTTCAAGAATGGTACAGAGTGTGTGTTTTGGAGAGTAATTCTTCATATGCCAATACTTTTTCATTGCTGCTCACAGCTCCCAACACCAATAGATGACATCCAGATGCTGATCACTGAGTAGCTCGCTGTCAGTTGTCCAAGCTCTTGAAGTTCTTCGGTTGCTGCCTTATCTAAATTAGCCGAAGAAATATAGATGTTTTAAGGTATCTGGTCTCAGTTTAGACGCCAAAATATCAATGTCTATCTTTGAAGACCCATGATATGATATGACTGTGTTAATATTATATTAGATTAGATTAGATGAGTCTTCTCAGTTTGATCCTTAAAAAAGTGCCTAAAACTTTGGCATTTCAGGTATTATGAATGAGATGTTATATTAACTATATATTAACTAAAACTTTGGTATTTGATTAGTGGGATTAAAGATGGCATAATTCTCAAATGCCATGGTTCAATGCGAGAATAAAGAATCGCATTACAAGGGAAAATCTTTTTCAATTATCTTCTGTTTCTTACATTCTCTTAACTGTAGTCTTGGAGAAGATGTTATGTTCCATCTTTCTTTTCTTTTTTTTTCATTGTTAAAAATGGTTGTCATCCATAATTCATGCCCAAGATTTGATATTGGTTTATTGGGTCGAGAATATATATATACTTCAAAAGTGATTTATTGTTGTTTTACCGAACAAATAATTGAGTAGAATTAAATTATAGCATGTGGTTCATGTGAAGGAATGGAATAAACATAATATAAGAAAAGAGATATAGAAACTTGTCTCGAATTCCACGTGGAAACTGGAGCACCCTGTTGATATGCAATATAATAAGCCAAATTGGTGATGGGTGTTGGTGTTGGTGTTTCCTTTCGGCATCATTTCTAAATGGCGCTCATCTTGTTTGCATATAAAACCCAACTCCATTGCCAATCCCACTCCCGAACAACATTCAAACTCCCAATCTCTCAGTCTCAGATCCCATTTCTGCAATGGACAGCTACAGAGATATCTTCATTCAAGTGCAGCAAGAACAAAAAGGACAAAGATTCTCCACAAGGAAGCAACCAAACGAAAAGGATGACATAAACCAAAGAGCTGAAGCTTTTATTACCAACTTTCGTAATCAGCTAAAGATTCACTGACCCAACCGTCTCTGGGTCTGTGAGATGATCCCACGAGCAAAGATCTAAACTCTATCACCTTTGTTCTTTTGCTATGTCAATAAGTTCCTGTAGTTGCTTTGTTCCTCTGAATCTCCTTTAATTCATCATATATGTTTGAGCACGCAATAAATGTTTGAATCTTTTTTGGGTCTTGTGTTGTTTATATTCACAAAGGCAGATATCTCCAAGATTAGACAATACTAGCATAAGATCTCCCACAAAATAAACAAACTAGCCTGATATTGATTAACAAGATTTACTTACAAGTATTTGCTTTCTGTTCAAGAATGTAATGAAATCAAATTCTAGAACTAAGCCCTCCAGTCCTGTAACTAAATCAACAACTTTACCATTAGGCATTCTGAAGGCAACTAACGAGGTCAGGTCAGGCTTGATTGAACCAAATCCATGTTCTCTCCGAAATAAGAGTTTCTCTGTGCCTTCTTTCACCGCATCGTTGAAAAATATCGTTCCGCCGTCCCGCTTCTCATGCCTGGAGGACTTGACAATGCACAATATGACTTTTCAAGCCATTTCTGCCAGCTATGCTGAACAATAAATTTGAAACTAGGGTCCTCAACTGACCTTTCCCAGCAATATTTTCCCACAGGTCAGGATTGCTCTCAACCCTTTTATCCGGACTTGAAACATCAACTAGACTGATGCTCATGTTGTTGCGAATAATGCAAAGCTTCCCGTTAAGCGAAACTAGCGCAGCAGCCTCTAGAGCACGAGAACTTCCAAAATGGAGCTTGCTATCGATGAATTTGGTCCATGAGTCCGTTGCACCATCGTAAACCCTGAGCTTGCATCCATCTTGGCAATCCAAGGCATAAAGTTGTCCATTTAAAGAAATACTCGGGTTCCGCCAGCCAGCAACCATCCCATCACTTACCGTTGTCCAAGTATTAGTTATGGGAGAATAGGCTTCACTCATGACCTCTCTGCGAGTTCCAAGTCCTTTCAGGAACCACAACCCTTCATGAACTACACCAATGAATGGCAACATTGCCGAGCTCATATCTGAAATAAAGCTCCATCTGTTCTTATTGGGATCATAAACTTCAGCAGAACGAAGAGTTCTATGGATCCCCTCACATTCACCGCCAGCAACATAAAGGCAGTTATTAATAACACAAGAGCCGAAACAATGACGTTTCCGAAGCATATCAGGTGCTCTATGCCATTTGTTTGTACGGGCACTGTAGAAAATCACTCGCCTCATTGATCCCCTTATTGGATCTTTCCCTCCAAATAAGTATAGGTGGCAACCACTAAGAACAGCACAGCCAAAACCGAGGGCCTCGGAGTATTCAATGGGGACAGGTGGAAGTGATTGCCAAAGCTGGTAGGTAGGATCAAAGGCATGCCATGATATCCTTCGGTCACGTTCCCTTTTGATGACGTAGACCCACTCTTCTGCCATGCCAAGACTTTTCCTTAGAGAATAATAGAAGTTTCCCATCAAGAGTCGATACCATCTCTTACAGACAAGGCGGAGTTTCCTGTGTTCCACTCGAGGGACTCGAATTAGACAAGCAATGGCAAGATCGTCAGGAAGGCCTGGTAGGAGTGGAGGCTGGACTCGGTTCCTTTCTCTCCGCGAAGTTTTACTTCTATGTGCATTTGGATTAATATCAGGCTGGATACATATTTTCGTGCCAGGGACGAATTTTCTAGCTCCAACAGCTGTTTTCAAGCCTGAATCTACTTTGCAATAACATGATACAGAATCAACCTACAATATATTTTCAATTAGCTGCAAAAAAGTTTACATGACAACTTCCAAATAAGAAAAAAGAAGCCAACGTTAACCCAACATATCTTCAGTTAGATGCAAAAATGTTTACGATAGCAACTTGCCAGAAAGGTAAAAAGAAGACAAAAATAGCCCATATGAAACCCAGCGAATCATGTATGGCATTCAATTGACGCTTAAACTTTTGCCACCCTATTTGGATGGTTGGTCTTATGCCTCCAAGTATTCTAGAAAGGGCAATAATGAGCCCAGGGATTGTGCCCAAAATATCTATCTTTGATTCAATAGAAGTAAAGGGCACAGCTCCTATGGGGGCTGTACCATAGGATTTCTGAACCGACCACGCTGAGACGAAGACCATAACAGAAGAAGTTAGAAGATGCGAGCACAACACGCCACTCCCTCCAAGATATGAATACTTTGGTAAATATCGACGGAATGCAATGAAAAGTCTCACTCAACATGCCTATTTTTAATTATCTTATGAAGCACTCATCTTTGCATATTTTTAATTAAATCTATTCACCAATCAATGCATCTCTTTATAATTCACAGGGATCTCACACTCTGCAACGAGAATCTTCATATTTTGTAATCCTCATAAGTTCTTTCATGTGTTCAGATTCAGTAAAAGTATTAGAATGATGGGCATCAAAATTTGTGAAGCCTTTCCACACACAGAAAGGATCATCCACAATTTCTTTCTTTTTTTTTTTTTTTTTGGTTAAGAAACAGACCTTTTATTGAGAAAAATGAAAGGATATAAAACAGTTTCTACAATAAGATGGCAAATGAATAACACCAGAAAGAAATTTGTTCAAACACAAATCCAAAATCCTCATGAAAGACCTGAAACTTGGAATCAATTCTTAGAGAGGGTTGAGAACATAATCCAGCATCCAGAACGCATAAAAATAGAGCTGAGAGGATTATTTAGAAAATTCAACAGAATGCTGACGAAAGAAGACATTAAGTAGACAGATGCGCTCGTAAAGACCTACCGCAGAAAACCCAATAATCGAATTAAGATGCGATAGTTTTAGATAAGTTAAAATAAAAAAAATAACCCCACCGCTGTTTTATACCATAAATCCCCGAAGTGAAAATCGTAGAGAACAAATGCGAGGTGTTGAGGGCCAAGAAGAGGCAGAAGAGCGCTGGTAAGCGAAATTAGGCGGACCAAACTACATAATTTCCATGGATAATCTACTCGGCTAGTGTATGGATGACAATGATAGGAGAAAGCAAGGCAATTAGTCGGGAAAACGGTACAAAGGGAGAGTATATTTCGATTGGACTAACCAGTGGAGCTTGAATTCGAATTCCCCTTTGAGCTCTTGAAGAGTGTTCAACTGATTCGTTCATTTCGGAAGCAAAGAATCATATATTCAATTTCCAGGCGCACCCTGCGTGAAAATCAAGGGTAAAGAAGGCAAAGCAGACTCGGATCACCAAAACTTCAACCCTTCAAGATTCCGATCTAACAAAGGGAATTGAACCCGTTACGATGAGCGTTTGACCCGAAGAACCGCTTACAAGAAACCAAATATGAACCAGAATGAGTAAAAAGAAGGGGAGAGAGAGAGCCCGTTTTCTCTCGGTAACGCGCGCACAGATTTCTGATTTTTGGAAGCATCAGATTTAAAACTATTTTTCAATGAGAGAGAAGGACAAGAAAGTGTAATGAGAAGGGTGGTGTTTGTTGTTACCATTAATGGGTCAAAACCCAATTTTGAGGGGAAAGAAGAGATAGACAAGTCAATGTCATTCAGTGGAGAGCCCTTCCCCTTCCCCTATTTCACTTCTGGACATGGATTCACAAACAAAGTGAAATTATTATCCACGAAGAAATTGCCTTAAAGCATTAAACACAAGACAAATAATATCATCACTGTAATGATCGAGTCCTGTGCATCATTTTTCTCTCGGCTTTTTATGGAATATTTCTTGCAGAAAAAGGAAGAAAAAAGTGTTCGCAAGGTAGTTTTAATTGCTATTTGTTTGCTTGTTTGAAAGTTTCTAAAGTTTGTGAAAATTGTTTACTGTGCGGACGCTAATTATGTGAAGATATGAATGCTTTTTCTAAACCAAATTCAATAAATGAGGGACCACTGGTCCACGCCCTTATTCTGATGCCTCTGATTAAATATGATATTGCCAAAACCACAACATCATACTGCTCCCCCTAATCTCTAATCCATTGGAATTGGAAGGCTAAACGCTAATGAGTGAACTTGAAACTACAAGGCAAGGATAGATTTACAATGACAAGGTCACGAGGATTTCCGTAACTTGCTTTCTATCATCTCTATCATCATTACTTGTTCAATTAGAGTACAATAAACCCATAAAATCAGTCCAAACAGTAGTCTGGTCACACAAAATGTTTAACATGAAATAATAGACAGACGCCACAACCTTCTCATGTTGCAGAGAAAGAGAGGAAACTTACTCGCTCTTAATTGGATAGAACTAACGTCTCACAACACGGAGAAATATAAAAGCTAAAATGTGTACAATAGTTTCATTCTTTGAAGTATGTGAAAGAAAATTTAACCCAGCAAAACCTGGTCCCTACGTTCTGAAATCATAAGGCCCTAACAGATGGTTTTCAATTTATTTCGGGTCAACAACAAAATAGTACAGAAACTATGAAATTCTTCAAGAGGGGGGAAGAAGAAGATACCCCCAACAAGCTCGAGGAATACCCAAGCAAACTGGGATTTAAAGAACTTTGGCATAAGTGATGGAAAACGCAATAGCTGCCGAACGGTAAAGCCCTGAGATCTCTCCACCCACCATATTATCCAACTGATAAGAGACGAGCAAAAAGAAATCCTACTTTGTTAGTACCATTTTAACCAACACCTAACGAACACTGCACACAACTCTACATTCCTAATGGGCCCCAAAATGGACAACGGTTTCTCCTTTTCCCCCCATAATGACAATATAATCACTTTTAACACCAATAGTCGAAGAAAAAAAAAAACAATACTCTATTCAGGCAGAAACGGGTTCCTCTACCCATCACCTAAACACTGTAAATAATTTAAAAGCGTACATGTTAGTCCCATGCACTAGTCACCCCTGAGCCACCGTACCCTCCCCCTCCATATCCACCGGAAACACCACCATAACCCCCACTGTTGCTATTGTTGTTGCTGCCTCCACTATAATAATCAGAACCACCTCTGCTGAAAGAGGAATCCCTTCGATAGTCACGGCTACCAAATCGGCCTCCCCCAGAACGACGATTTCTCCCTCCACTGTATGAAGACCTGGCAGCAAATCGTGATAGCCAATCAGGAACTTCTTGATTAGATTCTTGCATCAGATCAGCCAAGGACCTTGCTATGGACGAATTGTTCTCATTAAAAAAGGCAGTAGCTAAACCAGTCTTCCCAGCTCTCCCTGTTCGTCCAATTCTATGAACATAATCATCAATGTCATTAGGGAGATCGAAATTCACCACATGTGCAACATGAGGAATGTCAAGCCCACGGGCAGCTACATCAGTTGCCACCAAAATTGGCGTGTTCCCACTTCTAAATGACCTCAATGCTTGTTCTCTTTCCTGCAAACATGTATAAATACATAAAACAGGACCACAAATAAATTGTAAACAATCCAAATGCAAGAAATTATTATAATACGTGGTCAAACACAGATTTTAATTTCTCTCCCATGCATCAATGAGTACAAAACAACCATTATCGGTAAAAACAGCTTGCCACCCTCAAATAACTTCATGGCCAGTAGCAGACACCCTCTTCTTAATTAGAAAATTACTTAATACTTGGAAACATGGACTGAGTAACAATAACATCTAAACTTTGCGGGAGGACAAGGAAACAACTCAGATGACAAGATCAAAATGAGCTATCACGTTCTAAAACACTATCCATCTGAAGCTGTAACTCAACTATCACAACTTCAGTCTTCACTTAGAACTCGCAATCTAGATTCAAAACATTCAAGACAAATTATGCAAGACTGAACACTCCAGTAAAAAGCAGCTGGCCCTTCTTGCATTTTCCAGAGTTCCTATTGAAAAGTTTCTTACAACTCTTAAGAATAAAGCAAGACCTTCATAGGGAAGTCTCACATGCATCATTCCATAATTAATGACAAAATCAACAAATAGAGACTGTTGAAGTTCCATGATTACATTTAACATCAAATGCCAGAACTTTTACACCTTAGTAGATTTAGCAGGAATCTAAAACTCAGAAACCGCAGTGGGTTTTGAATAATGCTAAGAATAATGAAATGGTCAGGAGACAAAAAGAGAATGCAACAAGTCAACGAAGTGTAAAATATGATATAGAATATCAATCAACAAATCATTTGTAACTGCAGAATAATGTTGCAACCTATTTCTTTAAAGAACTTCAATTACTTGAGACTTTTATCCAAGTAATAGGCAAAACTAAGTTCCCATTTACACAAGACTTCGCATATATGCCCGTTGATGTATGCATCATTGTGTACCTTCATATATCCATGATCTTTTAAAAATATCCATTTTATCCTTCATGCATTAAGTTTTTTAATTAAATCCTTAGCAGTTAACATTAAAGAGGACAACACAGAAATTTAGAATGACAAAAGGTTAGAGCCATAATTAAATAACTAGACTGAATTAAATTAGTGTTTGATCACAGGAATTTTTAGTGACGAGGGGAGATCATAAACCATGTCCACAGATAGGATAAATTTAAAATGGTATACATAGACTTCTTGTTTTCAAAAAAACAGTGGAAGCATTTTTACATTTTTGATAGGAAATGATATATTTCGTTGATGTGAGAAAATATAATTTTATGGTAAGAGTGACAATATATATAAAAGAAAGGAGATATCCATCCCCAAGCTAGAGTAAGTCACATAAAAGCCTTCCACTTGGCACTGAAGGCTTAACATTATTGATTAGTTAGAGGTTCCCATTAAGAGTACAAGATTTCTCTCATAAGGGCAGAACTTGTCCACCAAATTGCCATAACCCTCTTGTTCAATGATATATCGTTTCTTTAATAGAGGCAGTTCAATTTTCCTTAACCTATACAGACATACGCACAAACATTTTCAAATGATGAACCGCATAAAATAGAAGCAACAGCCAAGAAGGTAGCTAGTAGTGCAGTTTGGAATGCTAGGAGATACCTCCAAGGTCCCCAAGATCAAGTTCCTAGGGTAAAACTTAATAATGTAAAAGCAGAGATTGGTGGAGGGATGGGCTATGAGTAAGCCTATATTCAAATTCAAGCTATAGCAGTAATACCAGAACATAAAAATCCAGTGTAATTTTCCCAGTGGAAATTAAACCGTAAATAGAAATAATAATTCCTTTACCAAGAGTTACTTTTTGCTACTTTTTTTTTTTTTTTCCTTTTTTTCGGTTGAAGTGTAAAACAAGAAACTAGCACACTATATTTTCTGGGAAAAAAGATTAGAACAACTGCTTTAAGATGAAGATCAATAAGCTTTTTTTATTTGAACAAATTTCATCAGTTGACTAAGGTTGCATTGTGAACTGCCAGACTAAATGAAACAATGTCAAGCTACGGTCCTGCATATAGGTTTAGCCCATCAATTAAAGTTTCTATCAACGGGATTACCTTAAAAACAAAGGAAAAAAAATATGCCAGGCACGAATGTACTTACCTGTTGTGTTCTATCACCGTGAATGGTAGTGGCAGGAAAACCATTAAGGCATAACCAATGTTCAAGAGCATCAGCTCCCTTCTTTGTCTCCACAAAAACCAAAGTAAGAGATTGCTGCCAGTACAGAAATCATATAAAAATCTACATGAGGCATATTTCCTTAGCAATTTAGGAAAATCAAGATAAATGTTCTATGCCTAAAATTCAATATCCTAACCTAGAAATATGAGACTGATGGAAGCACAAGTCATAGAGACCAATCCATAAGAAAAAAGTTATTTAAAAAAACAAAAAAAAAAAAAAACTAAAACCCCGAGAATCCTCACAATGATGGGTTAAATATAAAACATATACCTTGCCCTGCACACCATTTGACCTCTGTGCATGAAGAAGGTCCAATAAATGACTTCTCTTATCAGATTCATGAACAAATTCAACTCTTTGAGCAATTAGATCAGTACTTGAACCCACTCTTCCAACAGCCAGAAATATATAGCTTGAAAGAAAATCAGAGGCCAGTCTCTGCAAGAAACAAAGTCAACATAATATGAGTTTGATGTCAGAAGAGGAGTGCCCAAAACAAATGCCTGTCTTTGATTCTAACATGCTCCCCCACTTCTACACTACGTAATATAAAAAATGCACTTGGTTTATACGGATAAGGAAAAGTAATACCATTAAGAATATAATGCATCGGAACACATAAAGTTGTAGGCATACTGAAGTAGTACCTGAATCTCCCTTGGAAAAGTTGCACTAAACAGCATAGTCTGCCTTACACCAGGAGGAGGCATGTCCATTTGTTCTACTATTTTCCTGATTTGGGGCTCAAATCCCATATCTAACATGCGATCTGCTTCGTCAAGGGCCAAGTATCTTATCATTTGCAGTGAAACTTTAGCCCTTTCAAGCAAATCTACCAACCTTCCCGGAGTTGCAACAAGAATATCAGCACCTCTTTCTAGATCACGTAGCTGATTTTTTTATTAAAAAAAAAAGTATCAATAGTGCTAACCAAATAAAAATTATAAACAAGAAAAATTTTAAGGACACGAGTGGATTGTGACATCACAAATGAACCATAAAAACGAATAGATCCTACACCTACTAACAGTAGATGACAAAATTTTCATGACATTTTAAGTCAAGGAAAATTAATAGATCATCGTATGAGTATGAATTTTTTACAAAGCTTTTCGAGATGTAATATGTCTCTCATCAATAACTGCTGGTAGCTTAGTTCCTAAACCAATAAGTTCGGGCTAGTACCAGCAAAGGAAAATCTAACCAATTTTATCTTGAAAATATTGTTCGTCAATTACCACACCACAGTATAAATGTACACAAACAAAATGTTCATGTTTGTGACCATGGTTAAATCATTCTAAAGTAATTATAATAAATGTTTTTTTTTTCTCAAGCTGACATAGCATCATTGGACAACATTACGATGAGATGATTTACTGTCACAAGTACATATACTCCCTCGCCCCTCACAATATACTTCCATACAAATATGCAATGCAAGGGCAACCTCAGCAACTACATGAACAGTACTTCGATGCAAAATTCATTTGTCCTGATTTTTCTTACCTGAATATAATTATATAAATAAACAAATGTGTGCGTGTGTGTGGGGACACACACACGCACATTGTGTGCTTACATACTTCAAAGATAGAAAATGATGAAGGGAGTAAAGGAACACGAAACCTGTAGGTTGATTGGTGACCCCCCATAAGCAACCACCACTCTGACACCTGTTTGATAAGAGAATTTCCTTGCTTCTTCATGTATCTAAAACACAAGAATTCATCCGTAAAATGCTACATTGTAATGAGTAGATGACTTATTACATAATCAAAGGAAAACGAAATGAAAGTTTTTTTAGGAAAACTCACTTGCATTGAAAGCTCCCTAGTCGGGGAGAGAATAAGGGCAAGTGGGTACGCTGTACGTGCACCTCGAGCTGGTCTCTGCATATTCTGGCCCTTCATTATGCCGCTGATAATGGGGAAACAAAAAGCAGCAGTCTTTCCAGATCCAGTCTGAGCACAAGCCATCAAGTCTCTCCCTCCTAGGGAGATGGGAATAGCATGCCGCTGAACGGGAGTTGGTTTTACATACTTGCATCGCCGAATGTTTTGATTAAGCGCTTCACCCAAATCAATTTCAGCAAATGTATTCACCGGAGGAGGTACATTTTCACCACTAGTTTCCACAGGAATATCTTCATATGCATCAAAATTTATACCAGTATTTTCTAGCTCTCCAAATTCTTGCTCTGTATCATCATCGTCTCCAAATGGGTTCACTTCACGATCCCCCCTCCCGCGATCCCATCCACCTCCTCTATTTCCCCATCCACCTCCACGGCTGCCACCACCATACCCAGAGCGATTATAATCATTCCTGGGACCACCCCAGCGGGGCCCTACATTTCCAGAACGATCGTTTCCCACAGCAGGCCCACTGTTCGCTGCAGCAGGTGGATCAGAAGAGGCTGGGCGATTCCGAAGATGTGGTGGAACATAGGTTGATCGGCCAGGCGCTGTTGTAGTTCCAGCACTACAGTTGTTAGCAGAAGAACCAGCAGCTACATTATCAGCAGCAGAGCTTGCAGCCAAATCTGCCCACGAAGTTCGCATAGTCGGAGACCCTTTCACAAGTGCAGCAGGAAAAAAGTTCGCCAATCCACTCCAAATGACAACAAATTCTGCACATTATTTATCAATAAACAAATTAACCCACCTCCTCAGAAAACGAAAGGTTCAAGCATGCATAAACCCAGGGGTGAACACAAGTATATTCGGATGTAAAGCTAAGTCGAGCTGTGAGGAACTTAATACGGGAACATGGAAATAAATGCGTCCTCCGATCAACGAAAAGAAGCCCAAAAAAAAAAAAAAAAAAAAAAACAACTATCCGAATCGCGACCTCTTTTAAGTCTAAAATTAATCGCTCTCAAATCCCAGATTCTTTTTCGCGCAACAAACATAACTCACGAAAGTAAGAAAAACAGATAATCTTGATCTGCAGCAAAAGCAAGTAGAGGAAAGCAAGGAAAGCCCAGGTGGGAAAAAAATAAAACAAAATCAAGAAACAAGAAAGAGTTTAAAATCATAACAATGCACGCAAGGACAAAGATACGGAGACGGGGAAGGAGGGAAGAACCTGAAGAACAGGAAAAACAAAAAAAAACGCGGATACCTGAAATGACGCAAAAATAGTGGAAGATCCAGGAACCCTAATTTTCGTGTAGCAGAAAAGAGGGAGAGATAAAAAAGCGCCTTGCTTCAAGAGAACGAAAACAAAAATATCTGATATTTCAGAATAAATGTTTATATATATAAATATGTCTAATTTCGCGTTTTTTCTTGTGTCTACTTTTCCCTCCTCCGCTTTTTTTCTTTTATTCTCAGAGTTTAGGTAATTAAAGTAAAACTTGTGAATTTCAGATCAAAATTAATTAAGGTAAATTATAAATTACTACGTCCGTACGTATGTTTAGAGGATTAGCGGTCCAAATCCTCTATTTTCTTTTTCTTCCGATTTTTATTCGTTCTCTCTAATTTCACATTCTACTTCATCACTCCCTCACTGCACACTAAATTAATTGATTTTATGTGACTCTACGGTTTTAAAAACTAGATTTCCTTTTATCATCCAGTTGTTTATTTTGGTAATATGTGAGCTGTAAAAATAACCCAACAAGAAGAATGTTTGATTTTAAAAATGGGTAAATCACATATTTTTACCAATTTAGTCCTGATTCTTATTCTGCAAATTTAGACCCAACTGGGCATCTGATCCATCACATATTTTATTAAATTCATTACAACAGTACAATACAAGATTTCTATGCTTAATCTGGAATAATCCTTCCGATAACCTCCGACGGCTCCCGTTTCGATCACGATCGTCCATTCACATCCACGATCTTAGGAGCGCCACGTGTCCACTCCACGTTCATATCACGCGCGAAACCTGAGATTGGGGTATTCGTTACCCGCCTTTCCAACAAAATGACGGAAGAGGAGTTTCTTTCTACCATTCCAATTTTCAATTCTCAAAGAGAGGGAGAGAGAGAGAGAGAGAGAGAGAGAGAGAGAGAGAGAGAGAGAGAGAGAGAGAGAGAGAGAGAGAGAGAGAGAGAGAGAGAGAGAGAGAGAGAGAGAGAGAGAGAGAGAGAGAGAGAGAGAGAGAGAGAGAGAGAGAGAGAGAGAGAGAGAGAGAGAGAGAGAGAGAGAGAGAGAGAGAGAGAGAGAGAGAGAGAGAGAGAGAGAGAGAGAGAGAGAGAGAGAGAGAGAGAGAGAGAGAGAGAGAGAGAGAGAGAGAGAGAGAGAGAGAGAGAGAGAGAGAGAGAGAGAGAGAGAGAGAGAGAGAGAGAGAGAGAGAGAGAGAGAGAGAGAGAGAGAGAGAGAGAGAGAGAGAGAGAGAGAGAGAGAGAGAGAGAGAGAGAGAGAGAGAGAGAGAGAGAGAGAGAGAGAGAGAGAGAGAGAGAGAGAGAGAGAGAGAGGGGAGGGGTCATACGAAATTTAACTTTGATTTTTCCATTTTTCTGTTCTTTTCTTTTCTTTTCTTTTCTTTTCTTTTCTAGTGATTAGAAGAAGAGGACGGGGAAGAAGACGTAGTCCTTTTCTAGGGTTTTCCGACGGATCTTTTATGGCTCACGAATTCCTATGAACTTGAGGAGAGCACCACCGAATCGGCGGGATCTTGATCTGTGATTGCCTTCGCTATTGGAGAGGAGAATCACCAAAACGTACGCAGGGTAAACCATGGATTCCGTATCATCCAACTCCCATGGAAATCTGGACGAGCAGATTTCCCAGCTCATGCAGTGCAAGCCCTTGAACGAGCAGGAGGTTCCCTTTTTCTTTTTCTTCCGCATTTTTCCTTCCTTCTTGCTATATCGTAGAATCTAGAGATTATTTGCTTATACTCGGGGGGTTTCGGATGGTTTAAAAGGCAATGTGATGGATCCAGCCTGATCCGTTAGGGTTGCTGGACTTGGAATGAGGTACTACTCTAGCGTTTCTGGGCTCGTCGGTATCATGTCTGGGTTTGGTTACGTTGGAAGCCTTTCCAGGGTAGATCTAGCGGTTGGATTATTAGAAATATGGTTATTCGTGCAAGATTAGCGCCAACGCGAATTAGATTGCTAATCTTGGTGCCATTGCAGTTGCTCTTTATCACTTCCAACATTACCTCACTCGGAAATTGTTGCCCCAGTTGGTGCTATTTTGAGTGGTAAGATACGCTAAGTACGCGTCTGTCTTGTTCTTGGCAACCGTTCATTCCACCTGCATTTGTTTGTGGCTTTTGAACGTGGAATCAGGCGATTGGCCCATCAACACAATGTAAATCGACCAATGATGTTGCATCCATTCATCTCCACAGTTTTCTTGGAAGTATAATTGGTAGCTGTACAATTTTACTGTTTCACGTTTAGAAATGGGACCGAGCATTGATGTAAAATTTACAAGCGTTCCACTTTTTATATAGTGGGCTTTCTGACTAACTATACTTCTTTCTATCGTAGCGTTAGTGAGAAAGCTTGAGCAACACCAGTTACTGAAGTAATGGTATTTAGCTGCCTATTTATGTTGTGGGAAGCTGCCCAGAACATTCTTAAAGTTACATTTTGCGCTAGACATGTGAATTTATGAATTATGCCTCGATTCAAGATAATTTAGGTCAATATAGGAGAATCCTTGATGGTTACAAAATAACTTTCCAATTGGAAGCAAGGGAAGCATAACTATAGGAAGCAAAGATGTTAGACAGTTTACACCATGAAATATCATAACAACTAACGAATTAAAGAACACTGCAAAATTAACTTCTTTGTCCATAAAATCCCTTTGATTATGCTCTTTCCAAATGACCCAAAGGAAAGTGCTGCTGATGTGGACCCATAGCAAAGCTTTGGCATCTTTGAAGGGGTGGCCCAATAAAACAAGAATGAGGATGGCTTTCATAATGGTGAATCTTGAGACTCTTGAGTTTGTGCAAGAGCCATTAGAAGAAAGAAGGTTCTATCAAATTTATGATATCTGAGTGGCTGTGTTCTGTTTTCCTTTTATCTATGAACTTCCTGACCCCTGTGTTAAGTCAAAACTTGGTTTCAATCCGAATTCGACATCACAGAACCAGGAAGGATGCTAATAAGTAATAATAAGTGGAGCAGAACCCTGTTGGCTAAACAAAAGACATATAACTTGAGAAAGTAAGATCTCCGCTCTGTTGTCGGGAAAAGGGATCTAGCTAGTTTCTCAAGCTACCTGCAATGGCATTAGTCGATCGATAGTTTGCTCCTTCTCTTGATCTTCTCTTTCCCCCATTTTAGCTAGGTTGGGAATATTATATTCTACCCCCTATAGACTGATGTTGGGTTCTGTAACTATTATTATTTTCATTGAAACTTGATTTCCTCTCATCTTTCACAGTTTTCACTTTCTAGGTTTTAGCTATTAATGAAGTCCTGTTTAAAATCTACTCTATGCATTGTTAGTTTCTCCATCACTGATTATAGCTTATATTATATTGGTTACGTATGAAATCAACTTGTGATTGTCTGTGCCGAAGTCTTTTCTGTTTTATTTGACATCAGGATAGGTAAAACATATTTTTTTATGGCACATATTAACACTTCATAGATCATATTTTTCCTTTCAAGGATCTCAATTTATGGAGTGTCTATCATCTCTACTGCAGGTAAGAGTGTTGTGTGAAAAAGCTAAGGAGATACTAATGGACGAGAGCAACGTCCAGGTGTGCTTTATTTGGTGCCTTGTTATTGTTCTGTTATCTGGATTTATTGATGTTGCTTAATTTTTATGTTAATACCTTGGGGGGTTTATGCTCTGCAGCCAGTTAGAAGTCCGGTAACAATATGTGGTGATATTCATGGGCAATTTCATGATCTTGCAGAACTCTTTCGCATTGGAGGGAAGGTATTAATTCGACCATTGGCAGGATTTTCGTGATTATTATTGCTGAATGAGTAGTGATTAAAGCTTTGAATGGAAAATAAATGCTCAAGTGTGACAGAAAAGCTCTTGATATGTAGATTCTTGTTAATGTCGAATCGTTGTGCTTCTCCAACTTCAAGCATTATTACCGAGTTCACAATGAAGTATATTAGGTGATGGATATATATTGAAGCAAAAAAAGAAAGGCAAATATTTTAATGCGCTTCTGTAATGCTAGATATATGTCCTATATCCTTGATATACACACAATAACATACATTTATTAAATCAAGGTCATGATCGATAGCTAACATATAAATGTAGTCAAATTTTCTATGCTCATCACATGCTTATATTTAATTTCGAGGTCCTTCCTGAAGTTTTAGACTATAGTTGGGCTTCAGTAGTTTAGAGTAGTCTCTTATTTCTTTTCTACATTATACCAATATCATACAGCTCTTTATTCCTTCAAAATATCTCTGTTGGGGCAGTGTCCAGATACAAATTACTTGTTTATGGGAGATTATGTTGATCGTGGCTACTACTCAGTTGAAACTGTTACGGTATGTTTTGTTTTATGGAAATGTACTAGAGCATACACTTCGTATATTATGTGGCACTAGCAGAAATTGTTTCGCTTGAAAATCTAGAGACATTGCAAAAACTGAACTATTTGTAGGCCCTGAGAATTTGTTTTTATGTGCAGTATTTATGATTTAGAAGATCATAACACACCCTCTGATAACCAATTTTTTGGAAGTTCTTTTTCTGATAATTGAACATCACTACAGGTGCATTTTATATGCATTTCTTTGTTCAAAATTTTCAAATCGTCAGAACATTCAGCACCTTCAAATAATAGTATACGGATTAGAGTTTTAGCTATTATCAATGAGGGTATGACCATATATTTTCTAAGAAGGGAGTGAGTTACTAACAAACAACCTCTCGTATTGCTTGACCAAGTAGTACGTTATCCCAGGTTTCTACAAAGACACGCTTGTTCCTCTTCCTTGTCTCTTCTTATCATCACCTCTTTTTCTTTTCTTTTTTTCATTTTCCCTTGTCTTTTCCTGTGTATTATGTGAAATAGTCAATTCTTTGTTTTTCCATATTCAAGGTCTAAAAAGCATTTTCATTATTTCGGGAGTATCAAAAGAAAAAAAAAACATATTTTTCTTGGTTGTGAAAAAATAAAAAGATGAGATGAGAACATGCATTTTCTTTCAGCATTTTGCAAATAACTGTTTTTGTCTTTGAGCATGCATAGAGCCTTGATTATGTCTTGACAAAATCCAATAGATGGGAATACCATATCAAAGCAACTTCCCCTGATTGATCAGAATCATCAG